CCATGGTGGTTGTGTGCGCCGGTGGTGTAAAAAAAAATTGTATATTATTGTTTTAATTTTAATTAAATCTACCCTAATCTAAATATAGTTTTTGGGTTTTGTGATGATTTTAGGGTGTTTAATAATAAGTATTTTGTATATAAATTTTCAGTTTTCCGTAATCAACTTCTGATCTCCTTTCTTAATTTTTAATCATGTTTTAATCAAGTTTAGATTCTAACTTGTCCGATTTTTACAATAAAATAGTGTTTTTCGTGTGTAAACGACGTTTTAATCAAAATTCATTACCTTTGGTAGTGAGTACCACCCTCTCGTGGCCAAATTCAGCCTCTAAATATAGTTTTCGGACAATTTTTTATTTTTAACGAAGGTTTAATATATAATTTTGCAGATTTATTTGAGAGGTTTAAATCTTAAAAAGTATGCTTGAATTTTTATATAAGTACCATGAATGAGTTTTTACTTTGTGATTTTAATTACCCATCTAAAGAAAGAGTTTTAAAGGTTTTAAACCAAAATTTCAGCTTATTGGAGAGGTTTTAAAGTGTTTAAAAGTTGCTGGAAATTAGTGTAATCAAGGAAGTAATTGAGTTTATGTATTTGGTATTGTAGGAGACTATAAGTTGAGTAATTTCTAGCATGGTGGCTAGTTGAAAAGATGATTTAAGGTATGTTCGCATACTTGGTAATGGTTTAAGTGTATAGAAGCATGCTAGGCTTTGTTTAATTAATTCCAAGTAGTATCATGATAGGTGTTGGATGGAATTTGTTGATTAGATTGATGTTGGTGAATGATTTGTGATGTGTGAAATATCTACGGTGAATTGGTAATTGGAATGAATTATATTGACATGTTGGATATGAACCACACTTTTATTATTGGCATGTTAAAGAGCATGTTTAATTGAACTAAATGTTTAATTTGGTTTGGAATATGAAAAGAGAATTTTATGATGGTTCATATAATTTTTATTGATGCTATAAGCATGAGGAAGGAGCTATTTAAGTGTCTTAGTACACAGGAATAAATTATATTGCGGTGCCTATGTGCACTTAAGGTGTTTCTAACACCGAGGGATAGGATTTGCAGTGCTTTATGCACTTAAGGTGTTATTTAACACCGAGATAGTTTAAAAAGGATTCCACACTTAACTTATGTGGCCACTAAATATTCAGAAATTAAATTGGTTTGTTCGATTGCTTGAATGAATTGTAATGTTTGGTTGTGTTGTGTTTGAGAGTCATCACCAAGTCTAATAATTTGTAAAGAACGTAAAGTGAAAGAGATTACGTACCAAAACTCTTGGAACGTATATACCTTGAGTATGAACATATGGGGGAAGTTATGAGGTTTTATATCTAATCATAACTTCTACTGGGAGTACAGGACGCCGTATTTTCCTTTTTATTTATTTTATGCGCAGGACGTCCAGTCACTTCATGTGACATTTGCCTACCCGGTTAGCTCCTGGTGTAGTTTACCTCAATTTATTGAGGCAGGTAGTTGGTTGAAAACCCGTTCGATGCGTAATCAAATTAAATGGATATTGGTATTTGTCTAGTTAAGTGTTGAGTGTCTTGAATGCTTGTTTACAGGTGTAACACGGTAAGTTGTGCGTTGATAAGATGAAAGCATGTTAGTGTGTTTTACTACGCTTATTTACTGAGCATTGTTGATTGTGTGTTTGCATGTTTGTTCGACCTTGCCTTTACCTTGGCCCTACGATGAACCATTTCTAATGGCGAGTAGTGGGGACAAGTAAAGAGAAGCTTTCAGGTGATGAAGCATATCAAGCATGATAGGGTTGAGCGAAGAGGGTTACATGTTTCTTTGTTTATTATTTCTTGTATTGAATTATCTATGTAATTGTTGACAATAACATTAGTTAATGTTTATATTTACTTTGGTTTTAAGGGTTGATTTTATTAAACTTTATTTCATTTGAGCTTTTAAAGGATAGTCTTCCGCTGTGTATCTTTGATATTTGCCTTAATCGTGTTCACGGTGGCGGTAATGTCTTAGATTTTTCTTTTTCGTATTTTAAAAAGGGCAAAACAGGTATTTTTGGGAAAGGAATTTCTAGGGTGTTGCAGGATACTATCATGACATTTGTATCGACAGTGTAGTATTCTTTCATCATCAATGGAGTTTAGTCGGATGTTTTGAATCCTTCGAGGGGACTTCGTCAAGGTGATCCTATCTCCCCTTATCTCTTTATTCTAGTTGATGATGTGCTATCTAGAATGCTTCAGGTGGCATCGGAGAAAAAATTGATTCATGGTGTGCGGGCTAGTAGGAACGGCCCGGAGATTACTCATTTGTTTTTTGCAGATGATAGTCTTTTGTTTACTAGAGTTACCGGACAAGAATGTTCGATCATTGTTGATATTCTCAACAAATATGAAGCAACTTCTAGGAAAAAAATTAATTTAGAGAAGTTGGAGGTTTCTTTTAGTAAAGGTGTTCCTTTGCCATCAAGAATCACTTTTAGCTCTATTATTGGTATGGAAATGGTTGATAACCATGTTAAATATCTTGGGCTGCCAACTTTTGTGGGGAGATCGAAGAAAGCGGTTTTTGCTTGTGTAAAGGATCGGATATGAAGAATATTCAAGGATGGAAAGAAAAGCTTTTGTCAAGGGCCGGGAAAGAGGTTCTCCTAAAGTCCGTCATCCAAGTGATTCCAAATTATCTCATGGGTGTTTACAAATTTCCTGTGGGGCTAATTCAAGATCTTCATGGAATGATGGCTCGGTTTTGGTGGGGCTCAAATGAGAAAAGGGGGAAGATACATTGAAGGAGTTGGGATTCTTTATGCCAACCTAAGTTTCTAGGGGGCATGGGCTTTCGAGATTTGGGGGTGTTTAATAATGCTTTGTTGGGGAAGCAATTTTGGCGGCTTGCAACAAATGAGGACTCACTTGCTAGTAGAGTCCTTAAGGCCAAGTATCCCTCGGTCTACAATTTTTGAGGCTACCCTTGGTCTTGTTTCTAGCTTCTCTTGGCGAAGCTTATGGAGTTCGAAGGCCCTAGTGAAGGAGGGGATGCTTTAGAGAGTTGGTAATGGGCACAACATCAACGTTTGGATGGATCCTTGGCTAATTGATGACACGAGCAGGTTTGCAACGACTGAAATTAGCGAAGATGCATTTCGCTTGTTACTGAGCTTATTGATGTCAGTGGCAAATGCTGGAATTTGGAGATGATTGAAAATATTTTTAATGATTGTGACAAGAAAGCAATTCATGCAATCCCTATTAGTGATCGCCTTCCGAGTGTCACTCTCACCTAGGCTTGGTCAAGGAATGGATGCTACAAGGTGAGGTCTGCTTATCTCCTTGGTAAATCTTGCTGCCTAGATAATTTTGAGCAATACTGGGTTGAACTCTGGAAGGCTATAGTAACTCCAAAGGTTCGCCACTTCCTTTGGAGATGCTGCTCTAATTCGCTGCCCACTCGTGGAATTCTTGAGTATAGACATCTAATTGAAGACCCTATTTGTCCTTGTTGTGGTGTTGAGGCTGAAACCATTGCTCATGCTGTCATAAATTGCCCATGTGCACAACAGTGCTGGATTAGAAGTGGATGTGAGAACGTTCACAAGTATGGAGCCAATGCTTCTTTTGGGGAAATTTTAATGCTATGGAAGAAAGAGCTAGCTGATGGGATGTTCTAGAAATGTCTCTTTCTCACTTGGTTTTTCTGGTATAGGCGAAATAGGTGGGTTTTTGAGAATACTTGGGAATTTGATGACATGCTTCTTCAAAGGCACAGTAGGTTGGTTGCTGATTTTGTTGAATATATGGAGAAGATTTATGGGGGAACAACCCAACCTGAATCTCCTGGCAGAATGACTTGGTCCCTCCCTCCATCTAGTGCATTGAAGATTAATGTTGATGCCTCAATTAGTGAAGATGGGTGGGTTGGCCTAGGGATGGTAACGCGTGATTGTAGGGGCCAGGTTCGTCTTGCTGCTGCTCGTAGAGTTAAAGCGAGGTGGGATCCTCTCATTGCCGAATGTAAAGCTGCACTTTTTGGTATTAAATTGGCAGGAGAATATGGCTTCAGTGATGTCATTGTTGAGTCCGATTCGCTACTCTTGGTCTCAAAGCTTAGGAAACGTTCTTTCTCTTTCTCTGCGGCTGATAATATTCTTGAGGATATTGCCTTGGTTAGCTCTTGTTTTTCTTCCATTATCTAGTCTCATGTTAAACGTGATGGGTACTTTGTTGCCCATCATTTAGCTAGGTTAGTGCCGTTAAATAATGATCAACGATGGGAAAATCACGTTCCTTGTGAGATTTCCCCGTATGTACTTTTGGACGCTTTTGCTATGAATTAATGCACTAATCGCTTTCTTAAAAAAAAAAAAAAACACCTATTCCGATTTACTGAAAACAAATGAACTGAGTAGAACTGAACTTATTGGAGTTGAACTGAACTAAACTGAACTGAACTGAATAGAGCTGAAATGAATTGTTTATGAGAGAAGAAAATTAGGAGCTGAATTGAACTGATTGAAGTTGAACTAAACTGAAATTAAGCTGAACTAAACAAACCCTAAGTTTTTTCCCACAACTTACCTACTCGGGCAAACCCACAATCAAACCGAACTTCATTGCTCGTGTTTGTCGTATTGGGCTATTGGCTCGAGTGGTGCACTAGCTAGTTAGCACCATCTACAAGGCTGTAACTCTTCATTTTAGACTTTGGAGAGTTAAAAAAAAAACACATCAACATTCACATGTAAATATGAGGTAAATTCAAGTTTCTCTCTCTGAGACAAATTTGTGAATATATTTCCTCTCACAATCTAATCATTTCCTTTAATTTTTAAATGATAAAAGTAAAATAATAAAGTGTTACAGATTTTAATGCATAAAGTTGTGAGAGGAGATAAATGAAATGTTAATATCTGAGATCAAGTGGGGTTCCCTTGTAAATATGTAATAAATCTCACCCATAAACCATAATCATAATCGTGTCCTAATTTAAAATCACAAATATGAACCAATAAATATTTTTTAAAGAAGGGCAGAAACATGAATATGATAATTCAATCAATCTTCAGAAGCTAAACGTTCACCTCAAATCCCATCTAAATGGCTAACCGTCTAAAACCAATTTGCGCGGGTCCTTCAATTTCATCAGTATCTAATTTAGTAGCCACATTTTCTCTCTCCAATTCCAGAATTCTCCCCTCCAAATTAAATGCTGGACTTTTGAAGAACAACAACAAGAACAGAACAAATCGTCGCTTAATTCTGGGATTTGGGGTTGTTTGTTCATCTTGGTCTCAGTTTATGAGCATGTTTGGCCTTCAAAAGGGGAATTCTTTCTTGGCTTCTGCTAGGGAGAAGAGTGCTGTTGAGGAGGTACAAAATTCTGTAATTCTGCTTCTGGGTTTTAGTATTTATGTCATTTATGTTCATGGGTTTATGCTAATTTCGATAATTCATGCTAATATTGGACCTAATTCATAATTTGGCTTTGTGTTGATTTTGATTATGGTGTAAAGGGACCCTGAATGGGTAATTAGCTAGTGATATTGACCGGATTCGATTTCAATCATTTCATTTCTAAAAATTTAACGAATTAAGTTAGTTGACATCCACTCGTGTATAGTGTTGATGATTATTTAGCATCATTGTCCAATAATGTAGTTGTAATTGTTGGATCACATATATTGGAGTTAGCAGAACTCTAGTCCCTTCTTTGTAAAATGATATGGGAGAAGTCAGAAAAAGTCTGGCTTAACCTCCCTAAACCTTGTTATATATGGTCCTTTGTGGAAATTTGTTAATGCTACCAACTTATTAGGCAATTAATATGATTACTCCAGACAATGTCGTTTTATCAATAAACATTATGTTTTGATGTCGAAGAACCTAATGCCTTATACATTTAAGCTTATGAATAATGGTGATATTCAGATTAAATTTTTGGGCAGAAACATTTTATAAGGAACTCTTGTTTGTTGGTTTAGTGAATTTGTTCTCTTTAAATCATGTAGGTTTTGAAGAATGTTGAATGGCCGGAGCAGTTTCCATTTAAGGAGGAAGATTTCCAACGCTATGATGAGTAAGGTTCTAAAGAATTTCTCTGCTTCAAGTAGTTATCTGAAATTGTACTTTGTATTATTAGTTACTTCCTTTATTTGAAAATTCTAGTAATTATTTAACATTTAAGGAGCTCTATTTAGTGTGTTTATGATTAGATCTCCGCAACTGCTTAAATTTAGTCCAAATCATGTAGGTTTTGGGAAGATGATAAAAATTGTCCAAAATTTTTTTGGGTCTCTTCTGCAAATCATGTCAAACACTTGTGGCTAAGGGTTTGGGACATTGTGCGTTTGATGTCTAAACCCCTGGAAGAAGTGCTTTATTGACTTGATGCAATCTTCAGTAACTTTCTCATACTCTAATTGCATGGTAACTGTGTTTATAATCTTGTCACATAGCCGGATATAGTAACGGTGTTATAATCTGCAGAATTGATGTATTCACATTGATGCATAGTTTTTTGCATCTAAACGTCACTTTTATATTAAAATTTCCAATGCTAAGAAGTGAGTTTTGGCGTATTATATTTGTACCAATGGAGCTTGTTATCTTGTTTTTTTTTAATTAAGTGAGCATGTTGCATGTACAATGGAGTGCTGTTTATTAAGTTTTATTTTTAATCACTGAAAATATTGAAAAAAAAGCGATAAAGGTTTTTATCTGACTACTTATGAATCTGAATGTGGTGTGTGATAAATGCAGCAATTTGATATTGCAGCAGCACCAACCTTTCTTCAACTTATCTTTGCTGCTTATGACAAATTTTATAACATTTTAGATATATTATTTACGAGTAGAATTTTAGATACATTTGTTTTGACGCGATTAATATTATTACGGAGTACTTGTGTTTGTTATGTTATCTCTCACATTATGATATTCTGATTTGTAAAAAATACTTGATTCAATAGTGTTATGTCTGGCCATATGTTTCATGTTTTCGATGAATAACCACCACTTGCCATTAGACCTTATAATCCTATCAGCATTAGCATTCCATGTATAAATCTGCTGCTGTATAACCTGTATTAACTAGTGGCATCAAGCTTGAGATTGTGTGTAAACCTAAATGTGACTTTGATGATTTTTGCACCAGCTGTGTAGTATCACATGAGCCTCTAGAACCTATGGTCTCATAATTTTTCTTACCAAATTTTGCTTCCTCATTGGATTACAGTATATGTATTTTGCAGGTCAAATGATACATTGTTCTATGATACACCACGTTTTGTAACTCACATCGATGATTATGCTATTGCTGCACTCACTAAATATTACTCAAAGGTTTTCCCTCCCAGTAATACTCCAGGGGTCAGTATGCTGGATATGTGTAGTAGCTGGGTGAGTAATCCAATTCAAATCATTTTGTTACCTCAACGAATGTTTAATGAGCATATATGTATTTTCATGCATTTCAATTTTTCTCTAGGTTAGCCATTTTCCAAAAGGGTACAAGCAAGAGAGGATAGTGGGAATGGGCTTGAATGAAGAAGAGCTCAAGCGGAATCCAGTAAGATCTGTTTCCTACTTTTCTAATGTGTAGCAACTGTATTTCTCTTATGATTCATATCAAACAATCTTCAGAAATATACAAGGGTACTCTGTACTTTTTATCTTAGGCAATGTTAGGATTTTGGGAAGCTTAATTGCCAATTTGTTTCCTTTTTTTTCCAAAAAAGTTACAATTAAAATAAAGTAGGAGATATTGCTGAATTAATTTATATCACTAGGTCAAGTTAGGATGCATTTTAGGATGTTGAAACTTGAAAGTAAATTAGGTCTTCTCTTTTTGCTCTAGTCCTGTTCTGTCTTTTCTTTTTTATCATCCTAGTTCTAACTCTATTGTCTCCCCCTCCCTTGCTAAGTACCAATTTAGACTTTCTATCCTACAAAGGGCTTTCAAGCTTCAAAGGTTGATAACCATGATACAGAGTTATATACCGAGGTCCAATAAGTTGTTGCAAATAACAAAGTTAGATTGACAAGGGGTTGGGAAGCAAAGAGAAACAAATCGAACTTGTAGATTCTCTGCTTTTGCAAAGGAATTATCATTATTTCAATCAACTCTGACCTAAAATGCAAGTGCCTGAGCATTTTTCTGTAGCATGAATCAACTATAGCATTTACCGTACAGTAGCACTTCTTAATTATCTGAAACTTCGCAAACTAGTATCATTATTGTATTACTAATTTATAGCTAACAGATACTTCTTACAAGTATTTCTCTTAGTGATTTTAGTATTTTACTTGAAATGGGTGATGGCAGCTGATCCTTGCTTTTACTATTTTCTTACATTTTTAATAGCAAATTATAGCAAGTGCCAGCTATATGATAAATTTCAATTTATTTACTGAAAAATCTCTAAGACAAATTCTGATATTCATGCTTTCTCTGATCCTCTGGTTTTCTTCAAGATGAATATTAGTTTGATCCCCAGCAAGTGTAACAAGTTGCTTTTTTCAGGTCCTGACAGAATATATTGTGCAAGACTTGAATGTTAATCCAAAGCTTCCATTCGAAGATAACTCTTTTGACGTTATCACTAATGTGGTATGCACATCTGTCACTTTGATGCCATGAGCCATGACCTTAAAGTTCATAATCCTTACCCCTACTAGCAGATCGTATGTAAAAAGTAAAACCATTATATGGAAAGTGAGTTGAACTTTTCAGGAACGGCGATAATATGTTTGCTTATAATTAAAACATCGTTACTGAACATAATGGCCCATTTTGATCCTTAAAAAAGTGTAAACTAGATGCAAGTTTTATGGCTTACGTAACACTAAGTATGATATTAGATGTAAGTTATCTCTTAATAATAATGTGCAGGTAAGCGTAGACTATCTGACAAAACCACTTGAGGTATTCAAGGAAATGCAACGAATTCTTAAGCCTGGTGGTTTGGCTATAATGAGGTGATATGTCAATGCCCCTTCCATGTTATAGACGTTGAATTTGCCTGATTATGTGCATGCTATGAGAAACTACCTGCTAACAGCAGCCAAAAAAAAAAAAAAAAAAAAAAAAAAGGCTTCTCTCTAACCCCTCATCAAACACTAGATTCATTTAAGAAGCTTCAAACGTATTTAATAACTACAGTCTTTTTCTTCTTCAATTTAGATTATAGCATTTCTTACAACCAAAGAAATTGTTTCTTGTTGTCATGATATGTTAGAAAAGGATGATGCTCTTTTCTCTGTTGTCATGATCTTATTATGTAGATATATTTGTATCTGAACCAATGAAAGATTTACATTATATTCTGACTTTTGTGACTTTTTTTTTTGTTGAAGATGAGCAGTGCAAATCTCTGCCACAGTTTTATATTTCCCTTCCAAATCTGAACTGTCAATTCTTACTTCTGCTGTCTCTCTACCCCACCCTAGTTTTATTTTGTGTACTTGTCTGTAATCATAAGTTGTGTGGAACACAGCTTTTCTAATCGATGCTTTTGGACAAAAGCAATCTCAATATGGACATCGACGAGTGATGCTGATCATGTTATGATTGTTGGAGCGTATTTCCATTATGCTGGAGGGTTTGAACCTCCAAAGGTAAATTCTGATTTTACCGTATATTTTTCTCTTCCTAGTGTCTGTCATTTCTTGTATGTTTCAATTCTCATGCACATACTGTTTGGTCCTTTATCCCAAATTTCTGCTATTTTTGATGGGATAGTGTTTTTTTTTATTTTTTATTTTTTATTTTTAAAGATGATGGGATAGTTTAATAGTGCTTAAATTGGTTTAAAAGAAAAAGATCTCGAACATTACAGAGAATCTATACATACATGTATGTATATTTTGTGGCCTCATAGAATGCCTGAAAGTGAGAAGTTAAGTTTCTAATTGGACAAACCTTACTGGGACTGCAAGCTTAGGTCACATTCAAGAATGTGCAAGTTTCAGTTCTAAATTTACCTTCAAAGTAACATTTGTCAGAATTTGAAGCTATAAGCTAGATTATACTTGAAAAAGTACATATTTACAGCTAAATCAGCCTTAAAGAAACAAAATTCTAAGTTTATCATGCTGATGTGACACAATGCCAACTTTCTTTGCTCATAATTTCTTCTTCGAGTAGTCAGCACTTAATCCAGATTCTGCAGAAATATCCAACTTTACAGTTAATTGAACCAAAGTCTCCAATATATTGTGGTGAGCAACTAGTTTAGAGGAGGCACATATAAATAAGGAAAGCCAGTAATTAGGATCAGTATAAAATAATCAGTCAAAAGATATACCTCTGAACAAACAGCATTCAAAGCTTCAAAGAAAAGCATGTCCTATGCTTTATGTCAAGTGTGGCATTACCAGATTCTATAAATCCTCTTGCATTATAGAAAATCCCAAAGGCGATCTTTTCCCCAAGTGTTTAACCCAAAAACAACTAAGTTGACAATGCCTTCAGGCACTTTGAAATTTCTGTCAGTTCTCCTATTTTTGACAATATATGCCTCATGGGCTTCAGGAGATTCGATCCAACAGAATTTCCTTGAATGCTTTAACGAGAACAGAATATCCAATGCCCCAGTTCCCCCAGCAAGTTATAGCCCAACAAACACATCATTCTCTATTGTCCTCCAATCCACAGCTCAAAATCTAAGGTATCTCCTGCCTTCTGTAAAAAAGCCTGAACTAATTATTATGCCAACTGATGAATCCCATGTCCAAGCTGCTGTTATATGTGCTAAAAAGCTTGGTATTCAGCTAAGAGTTCGTAGTGGGGGCCATGACTACGAAGGGGGCTCATATGCATCTGAGATGGAAGAGCCATTTGTTATCCTTGACATGGCCAAACTTCGAATAGTAACGGTTGAGATCGAAGAGAATAGTGCATGGGTGCAGGTTGGTGCCACCATAGGTAGGGGTGAAAGTTCGGTATTCGGTTTGGATTACACCCCAAACCGAATCCAAACCGAATTATTTCGGTTTCGGATTTTTGAAACCGAATCCAAACCGAATTTGGATTCAATCCAATCCAATCCAAACCGAAATAATTCGGTTTTGAGAATTAAATCCAATCCAAACCGAATTTTTATGGGCTGCTGTATTGGGCCTTAAAATTTGGGCTTTTTATTGGGCATATAATTTTGGGCCTTTTAAGGCCTAAATTTTGTACCTGTTCCTGAACAAAATTAAAGCATAAATTTTAACATACAACTTTCACAAGTCACAACCATATGCCATACTGCCATAGTAACTAAATTGTCCAGCCATACTGCCATAGTAATTAAATACACTTACACATTGTCCACATTGAGACATAAGAACTTAACAAGTCTTAAAACTATCAAAACAGTCCACATGATGAATTGATAATAAAACAGACAAACAGTCCACAAATGAACTAGTTCAACCAACAGGGCAGCTTCATTCTTAGGCTCTTGGCAGAAACTTCAAGTCTTCAATCAATAGGGCAGCTTCATTCTTGGCAGCTAACTCTCAATCAAGCTCAACCAAGTCCGGGTTTTGACCACCAATTGTCATATTCCTCAAGTCTAATAACATTAAAAAAAAATAAACAAGTTACATAATATATATGAAATAATGAAAAAAAATAACATGATAATTGTTGTTTTATGTTACCTTCTTCAAGATCTTCAACTTCTTATAAACACTCTTCTATATTAGGAAAGGGAGAAGAACGTAGCCAATTTTGAGCACAAACAAGTCCTTCAACGACCCTTGGAGTTAAGGAGCTCCTAAATGGGTCTAGAACCCTACCACCAGTGCTGAATGCACTCTCAGAGGCTACTGTTGAGATAGAGACAACAAGTATATCACGGGCCATTCTTCCAATTGTTGGAAACCTAGCACTATTAAACTTCCACCACCCCAAAATATCAAAATTTTCACATTCCTCCTCCGTTTCCTCTTCTAAATATTTGTCTAACTCAATTTTTGCTTCTCCATCTTTCTCACACTTATGTTTCTTATACTTACTCTTCAATACCTGAAGCTTCTTTTGTTTGGGAGAAAATTGGGAACTGTCCATACTTGAGGACACTTCCTCCCTAATCACATCACCAGAAGAACCACGATACTTCTCATACAATGCATTCAAAGACTCTTTCAAATTATTCACCAAAACAAATGCATGCTTAGAATCATAAATTTCAATTAACATCCACTCAACATAATCTAACTTATAACGAGGATCAAGCACAACAGCAATAAAAATCAGCATGTTCATTTTCTCCGGATCACCCCAATATTTGTCATATTTCTCCTTCATTTTAGTAGCCATAAGACACATCTCCACATCATCATTTGTCATCAAATCTTTCAAAAGGACAGCAACACTCACCAATTCATGGAAAAATAAATTGGAAGTCACATGCAAAGACCCAGAGACACGCAACGTAAGATCATAAAAGACTTGTAAAAATTCAGAAAACCTTCTGACTGTTTCCCAATCCTCAGAAGTAGGCAGCCCTTCCCCTCCCTCTCATTTAACTCAATCACATAATGAGGGTCCTCCTCAGAGTACCTCTCAAAAGCATACTCAAACACCAAAGCAGCATCCAACATTAAAAAGGTGGAATTCCACCTAGTAGGCACAACAACTTTTTAGAGTTGATTTTTTCTTCCACAACACATTTTTTGAACCTTTCCAACCTAGAAGGGGATTGTTTGATGAATCTTACAGCTTGTCTCACACGAGTAATAGACTCATTAACAATTTTCAAGCCATCAGACACAACCAAATTCACAATATGAGCAACACAACGCATATGAAGGAACCGATCCTTAAGAACCCCAGCTTTCCAACCATTTATTTTCCTTCTCATATATCCTATTGCGGTATCATTTGAGCTAGCATTATCAACAGTTATGCAAAATACTTTCTCAAGTTCCCAATCAAGCAAACATTTCTCAATTTCTTTCCCAATTTCCTCCCCCTTATGACTTGATATAGGACAAAAATTCAGAATACGTTTTTGCAAATACCAGTCATTATCAACAAAGTGAACAGTCAAGCACATGTAATTAATTTGCTGAATAGATGTCCATGTATCGGTTGTTAATGAAACCCTTGAGTTACACTTTTTTAATACCAATTTCAGCTTTCTTTTTTGAGTTAAAAAAGTTTCATAACAATCTTTAGCCACAGTAATTCTGGAAGGGACATGAAATCTAGGCTCCATTACATTACAAAATTGTTTAAAGCCTACTCCCTCAACAAACTTAAAAGGCAATTCATCAACTATAACCATCTCAGATAAAGCTTTTCTAATTACAGTTGGATCATATTTCACATAAGACAATCCACTAGTACAACCACTTTCAATTTTATTGCTTTTGAAAGACAACAAACTTTGTTTTGATTCTTTAGGAGTATTATAGGGGTACTTACGACATCTATTTATATGAGCCCACAATGGACTAGTGCCATTTCTCTTTGTACCACACTTGTATCTCATACCACAGTACTTGCAACGTGCTTCCATTCCAGTGTGTGTTTCTTCCTTGATAAAGTGCTCCCAAACCTCGGAACGATCCTTCATTCTCTTCCTCTTGGGTTTGGATTTTTCATTGTCAGATTCATGCTCCTCAATAGGGACATTCCCTTCAACATTATCCATATTTGTGGACATTCTGATAATCTGATTTAAAACAGAAAAAAGAACTCACTCAATAACCAACAATTTTTATGCAAATCTATGAAAAACAATCAATCTATCAAAAAGAAAACATGCAATTCGAGCATAATACTATAATAGAACAACATATATTCTGAACTCTGAAGGAATATCAGCAATTCGAGCATAATACAATTCGAGCATAATAACTATTCAAAGAAAACAATCTATCACCAATTCGAAAATAACAAAGAAAACATGCAATTCGAGCAGGAAAAGAGAAGTGCAAGTGAAATCTGAAATTCAAAATAACAAAGAAAACATGCAATTCGAGCAGGAAAAGAGAAGTGAAATATGAAATATTGAAATTAAAGCATACCGGAACACTCGAACAGGTGGTCAGCGGCGGCCGGCGTTGGAACACTCGAACGGAACACAGGTGGTAAGTAGGAAAGCAGGAAAGCAGGAAGTAGTGAGGTGGTGGATTGGTGGTGGTGGACGAACGGAGTGAGGTGGTGAGAGGGAGAGATGAGGGAAAATCTAGGGTTTTAGTGAGGGAAAGAGAAACGGCTGACTGAAACTCTGAAAGGGAAAAGGGAAAAGAGGAAATTATTTAGGGTTTGGGTATATATATGTAGGAAAATGGGCTGAGATAATTGGGCTTATAAATTTCGGTTCGGTGTTCGGTTTTCGGTTTTTAAAATCCCAAAACCGAATCCAAACCGATATAATTCGGTTTTCATTTTCTCAAACCGATCCAAACCGAAAACCGAACCAAACCAAACCGAACCGAATTGCTAATTCGGTTCGGTTTGGTTCGGTTTTCGGTTTTTATCCAAACTACTTTCACCCCTAACCATAGGTGAGCTCTACTACAGGATATCGGTGGAGAGCAAGGTCCATGGATTTCCTGCTGGGCTGTGCTCCAGCTTGGGTGTGGGAGGCCACATCACAGGAGGTGCCTATGGTCCAATGATGAGAAAGTATGGCCTTGGAGCCGACAATGCCATTGATGTTCGGATGGTCGATGCCAATGGTCAGATTCACGATCGTAAGTCCATGGGGGAGGATTTGTTTTGGGCCATTAGAGGAGGTGGGGGTGGGAATTTTGGGATCATCTTAGCTTGGAAGGTTCAGTTAGTCCCAGTACCGGAAAAGGTGACAGTTTTCACTGTTGCAAAAACCTTGGAGCAGGGATTTACAAAGATCTTATCTAAATGGCAACAAATTGCTGATAAGATAGATGAAAATCTCTTCATCAGAGTCATAATACAGAACTCCAAAACCCCAAAGGGTGACAAAACTGTGATGGGTTTGTTCCAGGCCTTGTTTCTTGGACAAGCTGATCAGCTGCTCAAGGTTATGCAACGTGACTTCCCCGAGTTAGGCTTGCAAAAGAAAGATACCTCTGAAATTAACTGGATAGAATCAGTTCTATATATTGCTAACTACCCCTCTGGCACAAAGCCTGAAATCCTACTTGAAGGTAAGCCAACGTTCACTAATTATTTCAAGGCAAAGTCGGACTTTGTTAGGGAACCAATCCCAGCAAGTGGACTTGAAGGTTTGTGGAAACAGCTTATGGAAGATGAGGGCTCCCTAATGATCTGGAATCCTTATGGTGGGATGATGAGTAAGATACCAGAGTCTCAGATCCCGTTTCCTCACAGAAATGGGACCATATGTATGATCCAGTATGTGGTAACATGGCAAGATGGGGAAAGTAGTAAAAGTAGGCATATGGAATGGATTAGGAAGCTATATAACTATATGACACCTTATGTATCAATGCTCCCTAGGGAATCATATGTGAACTATAAGGATCTTGACTTGGGTATGAATGAAGATGGTAATGCTAACTTTATAAAAGCAAGTGCATGGGGTAGCATGTACTATAAGGATAATTTCAACAGGCTAGTGAAGATTAAGACGAAATATGACCCTGAGAATTTCTTCAGGCATGAGCAGAGCATCCCACCTCTGCCGCTTATGGAGAGCAAAAAAAGTATCCATTGGGATGCATGCCGTAAATCTGATGATCAGATGTAATAGACTTGTTTAATCAGTATGTAGTAAAGCTACTAAGCTAGTTTTGCAACTTTTCCTTGCATAAACTTGTCAACATTCCACTATATTGTGTAAGATGCATATCATGTATAAAAATGAAATTTTATTTCATTATATTGTTGTGTAATAACTTCAGGCATCCTGAATAGACAAATTGTGACAAATAGGCTTGCATTTTAACCATCTTTAGGTACTTGTTGAATGAAAATTCTATATTTTCTTGATTTCCGTCTTTTGTCTTTACAAGTTTTGCGAGTTTGTCGTCTTTAATTATGTTTCTACACTATTATTTGCAGGTTGTAGACATATCTCCTAACCTTGGTCGGTCAGATCCTATGTACGTTGTATATTCCAAGAAATCAACGGCAAGGGTCTAAGCTGATTTTGGATTTTTGGCTTCTGCACGGGTAGCAATATGATGAGTCATACTAGTATAGCAAACCTTTGTTTTGTTAGCCCTTCAATTTTTACACTTTGATAATGATCTGAGCTAGAGGGCACATAAATAAGGAAAGCCTGTATTAGTATAAAATAATCAGTCAAAAGATATACCTCTGAACAAACAGCATTTAAAGCTTCAAAGAAAAGCATGACCTATGCTTTATGGCAAGTGTGGCATTACCAGATACTATAAATCCTCTTGCATTATAGAAAATCCCAAAGGTGGTCTTTTCCCCAAGTGTTTAACCCTAAAACAACTAAGTTGATAATGCATTCAGGCACTTCGAAATTTCTGTCAGTTCTCCTATTTCTGACAATATTTGCCTCATGAGCTTTAGGAGATTCAATCCAACAGAATTTCCTTGAATGCTTTAACGAGAACAGAATATCAAATGCCCCAGTTCCCAGCAAGTTATAGCACAAAAAACACATCATTCTCTAAGTTTATGCCAACTACAAGTTGAATTTCAATACTCTAATTTCAAAACAGTGAAACCTTGTGTAATTGCTTCTTGTAAGATTTCTCTACTCTCTGGAACAGCGGGGATTACGAGTCCTGGTCTTGTTTCCATTTCTTCAGCATTTATCCTTTCAAGCTCTGAATGATCCCTCACCATCACTATTTCAAAATGTTTTCTGGCTTCAGCAGCGAATTTTGATGCATTTTCTTGAAGAACTTCTAGCCCTTTTTCCAAGCTTCTTCTGTATGATATATAAGGTTGGGTCTCTAGTAAGTACTTGTTAGGTGTGGCCGACTTTCGTACAATATAATCCCTGGCTTTTTTGTAAGCCTTACTCATGGTCTTTGCATAGTTGAGAGTGCTCTGGCTCTTCAAGAAGCAACTTATGTTGATTAGCAATGGAAGATGCTTCATCACTAAGCCTTAAATTAGCCATCATCATTAAAGCTTGATGTGCCTCAAGCTCAGTGGCCCAATCCAAGTCCCATAATTTCTCATTAAGGCCTTGTTCTACCAAATTCTGCAAGGCAGTAAGCCTTGTACCTTATTTGTCTGTTCTTTCAAAAATCTGGATTTCTTTTTCACATCAACGGACATCTTACGATATAAATCCAACTCTCTTGAAAATTCTCTAAATTTGGAATCTAACACCCTTGACTTTATTCTCATCTTTTTTGCTAGTCTCTTCATAGATTTGACCCTTTCCTCAGCCTCTTTCGAAATTCTTTCCAATTCTCCAGATGTGAAAGTTAACTCTGCAAATTTATCTATCCAACAAAAACAAAGAGTAAAAATTGGGAAATTCATACTTTATTAAATATTAGAGCATTTTAATACTTGTATCCGATCTCACCGGATTAAAAATTAATGTCTATTTCAAATGTAAATGAATTTATTCCAGTAAATTATCTTTATTAAAAAAAAACATAGCATGTGTATTAGTATATATAAAATAATTTATTAAGGTATGAAGTATTATACATTTACATGAAAATTATTTATCAATTAACAAATTACATAATTAACAAATTACATAAAACTATATATTTTATATTGTACATGTTTGACACATATATACATATGTCAAATTAATAGATTATTATGAATTTTTTTATGCTACTAGTATTATTTTTCCCATATTTTTGTTAAATCATTATTTGTTTATCTTGTTATAGAATTCGGAAGCTGAGTCTTTTGCAAATATAATCCCTGGCTTTTTTGTAAACCTTACTCATGGTCTTCAAAGGTATTTCTTTGCATAGTTGAGAGTGCTCTGGCTCTTTAAGAAGCAACTTATGTTGATTAGTAATGGAAGAGGCTTCATCACTAAGCCTTAAATTAGCCATCATCATTAAAGCTTAATGTGCCTCAAGCTCAGTGGCCCAATCCAAGTCCCATAATATCTTCTCATTAAGGCCTTGTTCTACCAAATTCTACAAGGCTGTAAGTCTTGTACCTTATTTGCATGTTCTTTCAAAATCTGGATTTTTTTTTCACATTAACGGACATCTTACAATATAAATCCAACTCTCTTGAAAATTCTCTAAATTTGGAATCTAACACCCTTGACTTTATTCTCATCTTTTTTGCTAGTCTCTTCATAGATTTGGCCCTTTCCTCAACTTCTTCCGAAATTCTTTCCAATTCTCCAGATGTGAGAGTTAACTTTGCAAATTTATCTATCCAACAAATACAAAGAGTAAAAATTGGGAAATGCATACTTTATTTAATATTAGAGCATTTTAGTACTTGTATCCGATCTCACCGAATTAAAAATTAATGCCTATTTCAAATGTAAATGAATTTATTCCGGTAAATTATCATTATTAAGAAAAAACATAGCATGTGTATTAGTATATATAAAATAATTTATTAAGGTATGAAGTATTATACATTTACATTAAAATTATTTATCAATTAACAAATTACATAATTAATAAATTACATAAAACTATATATTTTATATTGCACATGTTTGACACATATATACATATGTCAAATTAATAGATTATTATGAATTTTTTTTATACTGCTAGTATTAATTTTCCCATATTTTTGTTAAATCATTATTTATTTATCTTGTTATAGAATTCGGAAGGCCGAATCTTTTGAAAATATTTTTGAGTTCGATAAGAACTTCATCAGTATCCTTGCTTTAGCAAAAACAAAATTATGAACATTTATTTGCAATTGAAGAATCTTTATCACCAAATTTCAATTTTAGATTAAATTAATATGTATGGTTTGATACTTTGATTCGTTCCCTTATATCTCTATTGCTCTAACTGAATTTGGTGTGAATAATCGTCTATTATTATTATTATTATTATTATTATTGGGGAGCCCAGACAATTTACAAGAAATTAGTGGGGAGTCGAGATACAATCTGGGCTCCCACTCCTCTAGGTATAGCGAAACCGATCCTGCTGAAGATGTGAGCAGCATCACGAGCATCTATATCTTGAGTCCTTGCGAACGCCTGAACCCGCTTCAACAATGCAACAACATCCTTCTCTAATTCCCCCAAATAAGAAAAGGAGAAAGGAAGGAAAAACATAGCCAATAGCCCTGCAACGCGCCCCATACTTGTCTCGCTTCTGCTGAGCCGCAACCGACACAACACGACCAGGAACGAAGTCAGACAACCCAGATTGCGTCAAAGGGGAAGACCCCGTCAAGTCAACACATACATCAAGGCCTCTATCGCAGGAATAAAGCAACACATCTGCTGGTCGAAGAGCCCCGTCGTTCCCTCTAGTCAACCCAACGTTAACCTCCTTTCTTGCAAAAATCCCAGAGCGAAAACAAATATCAACAAGGGTATCATGAACAACGTTGTGCCGATGTTTAATACCCAATAACCCAGCACAGGACACTACATGATTCCCATAAATATCCCCATCAAAAACCCTTGAGCAAGCTTGTGCCAATGTTTAACACGGTGCCGAAACAGAGAACAATGGAACACCCAACCGGTAGCAAAGAACACAACGATAAGTCTTACCATTCATTATTATTATTACTAGGAAATTTTGTTAATTACTACCTCAAAAACAGAGGCTTTGTGAATTACTACCCCTAAAAAAAAGTTTTTAATGACTACCCCTTAAACCGATTAATTCAAGTGATTGCCGCCCTTTTCCCTAATCAGCCCCTAATTAGGTGATTTAAGCTCTTAATTACATCATTGTCTAGCAAAGTTATAATTAGTTGTTTTTAAGCCATGATTAATTAAATAAACCCTAACACCACCTCTAAACCACCACTGCACCACCTATAACAGCCCCCTTACCCTATCCCCACCATCTCCGGCAGCCCCTTACCCCATCATCCCCTTGCCGGCGAGCTAATAAGCAGCCTACCCCTACCCAAGCATCCAATTCACCTCTAAACCACCCACTGCACCACCTCTAAACCCCCAACCATCCCTCCTACCCTCAAAAAATCTCCCCTCCCTACCCGCCGGCGGCCCTGACCCCCTCCCCTCCGCCGGAGAACCCAACCACCTCCATCCCACCGCAGCCCCACCGCCTCCTCCAGAGCCCCCACCGTTAACCACCATCTCCCTCCCCAATCCCACCGAAAACCACCAAATTCCCCCAAAACCACCTGCAGCTTCACTCCTTTCCCCCGAAACCACCCGCAGCCTTACTCTCTTCCCCCAAAACCACTCACAACCCCCACCTTCTTCTCTTGAAACCACCATCAAGCCACCATTTTTACCCCTAACTTCTCTCGAAACCATTGAAACTCCAACCCCCTTCGCCAAAACCCATTTCCCTCGAAACACTCAAATCCACCAACCCAATAACCGGAATCTGAAGCCTAGCAGCCTCATTATTCACAGAATATGTCGTGCTTTTACAAGGTGGGAGATGAAATTGAGGGCATTGCGAAGAGAAATTAGGGTTCAAGTGGCTAAGGTTGGGTTCTTGGTGGGGCTAGGGGAGGCGGTCGGTTTTTGGTGAGGGGAGGGAGACGGTGGTTTCGGGTGAGGGCCAGGTTTAGGGTGGTGGTGCAATGGTGGTGTGGAGGTGGTTCTAGGGTTTAATTAGTTAATTAAGGTTTAAAAGTAACTAATTATAAATTAGCCGGATAATGATATCTTTAAGAGCTTAAATCGCCTGATTAGGGAAAAGGGTAGCAATCACTTGAATTAATCGGTTTTAGGGGTAGTAATTAAAAACTTTTTTTTAGGGGTAGTAATTCACAAAGCCTCTGTTTTTGAGGTAGTAATTAACAAAATTTCCTTATTATTATTATTATTATTGTTATAATTACTATTATTATTATTATTATTGTTATAATTATTATTATTATTATTATTATTACTATTATTATTATTATTATTATTATTACTATTATTATTATTATTACTATTATTATTATTATTACTATCATTATTATTACTACTATTATTATTACTACTGTTATTATTATTATTATTATTATTATTATTATTATTATTATTATTATTATTATTATTATTATTATTATTATTATCTTTAATAATTTATTTGATTCAATGAGGATTCAACGCGGGGATGGGTCTTGGTTTGGCGGGTGATGGGGCGGGGATGGGGATAAAAACCACACACGCCATGGGTGATCGGGCGGGGGTGGATTTTAGGTTGTACCCGCCCCACTTCGTACCCGCCCCATCCCCACATCCATATATTTTTAAAAACAAAATTATATACTTTTATATCATTTATAAAAAAAAAATTATGTAAAATAAAATAGTAAATATAATACTTTGTAATACACTTATATTATAAACAAAAAAATGTGTAATATTAACAATAATTTTTTTCTTTTTGCAATCTTTATTAATTATGAAGGATTGTGTATTTGGGAGGCGGGGATTAAGCGGGTCTTAGGTAGGGATTAGGTGGAGGTGAATATCCAAGTAAGGGTTGGGGTGGGGATGGTTTTGGAATTGTACCCGCCGGGGCGGGGATGGGGATGAATTTTAGACCCGCCGCGGGGATTGGGATGAAAATTTTAGGTGGGGATGCAAAATTCCAAGCATCGGCCAACAAATCATCATTGAATCGCGAACATACACTTCCATTGTTGATGCTACCAGAGAGCAACAATTCCTTGAAGACTCGTCGTTTGTACGGCCTTTCTAAGCACATGTTTATTCATGTTAATATTCCTGAATCCTTACTCAACAGAGGCCATGATCAAATTGAGAAGAGATTGTTTTCGTCGTATGGCTGGCTTCTTGTGGCACCAGATCGTAAAACTTCCTCTCTTTTCAACCCCTTCTCCGGTGCCATTATAAACACCCCAACCATCCATTTATGGTATTATAGACACCAAAGAATTGAATATTATCATGATAAGTTTGTTTTATCTGCCAACCCCTCGACTACATCTGATTTCGTCGTCTTCCTTTCTTTGGAGGGTAAGATTGGTCGTAAGATCCCACCAATGTTGGTTTTCTGGAGGAATGGTGATAAAATGTGGACTCCGGTGTTGGATCCTGAAAACATAAACACGGGGGTATCATACAAGTTTGATGATTTTTTCTATAGTCTTTGTCATGATATAGCGTTTTATCATGGAGAATTTTATGCAGTTAACTTTTATGGTACGGTTGTACGATTTCAGACAGCGATAGGCTATCCTTATTTTCATGTAGTGACTAAGGAAATTGGAGATAGTAGACATAACAATGAGTAATGGCATTATAACTTGGTTGAATCACTAGGTGACTTGCTCATTATTCGTCAAAAGGTATGGTTTTTATAGCAAATTTAAGACTATTAACCATTGGCGTTGCACCAAAGGATTTAAGGTTTTTAAGTTGAATGTTATGACTGGAATTCTCACCAAAGTTGAAAGCTTGGGAAATAGAGCTATTTTTATTGGTACAAACTCTTCTTTCTCCGTCGAGGTTGTTTCAAATAGCACCAGATTTAAGCCTAATTGCATTTACTTTACCGATGATCGTATGACGGGGAGGTGGCTTGGTGTCGGACAAGATTGCAGTGATGCTTGTGTTTACAACTTAACAAATGGCATGCTTGGCAAATTTTATGATGGTCCTTCAAAACCTAGCCATTTTTCACAATATATGTGGGTCGAATCTCCAAATTCGTGTGACTTTAATTTGTAATTTTAGAGGTATCATTCAACTTAATTTACTTCATTTTTTTTCTTTCTATTTGTTAAGTATTAAATTTATTTTTTCTCTTTTTATGATGTACCATACTCCAATCTCCAATAACTATCAAATCCAATATACATGAGATAATTTATATACTTGTAATATGGTTTGATGATAACTTTAAGGAATTATGCATGGAGACACACGGACACAATCACACAATTGGTTTTGATGGCATCAATTAGTAAAGGAAATAATCTAGAAATTTCAAGTTACTAGATTAATGTTCAAAAGGCTAGAAAGTGTGGCCTTTTAAGAATTATTCCAACTGTATGCTGCCAAGAACCATCGTCAAAGCTACAATTAGGGCACATCCCATGTGATAAATCTACATTATTGTTATTGAGGTTGATGTTTTTAATTTATTATTATTATTATTATTATTATTATTATTATTATTTGTCCACAATATTTTTGACAGAAATTAATTACTTGGAAGTATAATTGATTCTTCGAAGTAGGACAACATTAGTATCGAGTTGTTGAAAGAATAAAAGTCGGTGGTCCACTCACGTCAACATAAAGGGTTAGAGTGTCTCTCTATGTTAGTATGTTGTCTATAGTTTCTTGATAATTTTTGAGATCAATAATATAGATACATTATATTTCAAAATAAACCAATGAAAGCCAAGAGGTGCAATTCCTACATACAAACGAATCATAACTATTTAATTATATATACAACTGAGTTGTAACAATTCTTTTAGATTTGAAATAGATCGATTATAAAAGATCAGACAATTAATTATATGAGAGTGCATGAAGATAGAGAAAATTATGATATCGTGCACTAGATTATGTTGTTTGGCCTTGTTAATAAGTTAGTTTTTAGCTCATAGATTAACCATCAATTTTTCTTAAGTTTATTTCTATGTAACTCACACACATGATGACTAATTGAACCCTTAGAAGACTAGATTAACGTTACATGATAATAAATTACTTTTATTACGTGCGATGGTTGATACGTTCGTTATGTGTAGGATTGTAGGGTATGTCACACTCACTACCATGTGCACGCAAGAATGTCGTGATATACCCACCATAATATGATATACTCATTAGTCAAGCTGGAATCATATAGGAGTAAAATAGCAAATAATACAAAGCTATCCACTAAAGATATGGGAATCAAACAATTACATTTAATTCCATTTTTTTTTAATTGATTGGAATCTGATCCTTACAAAGAAAAGAAAAGGCTAAGTTTACTATGAGAAATTGAGAATCTCTTTGAAAATAATGCTTACTACAACTTGTTCTCTATTCTATCAATTACTTATAAACTTGAACATACACTTGTGGCATTCCATATACAAAATTGAAACTAATTTCTATGAAACAAATTAAACTACCTAGCTTAAAGATGAAATTAAATTTTGTTGGATTCAAGTCTGGTTAAGCCCAACCTTGCTTATACTTGCGAAAAAGATCCTCAGTTTGAGCATTCCTGAATGCACTACAAGCGATCACGTAAACAAAGATGAGCACGATGACAGTGATTATGAGAATGATATTGGCTTTCCTCCATTCATCCCTTAGGTTTCCAAGAAGCCCTGCCTTACAAGAGTTACAATTGTAGCATAGTTGGCTTTGGTCGGAGCTCCATAATGTGCAATCCGGGTCAGCTGCCGGGTTTGTAGGGTTAGTCCATATTGTTGGGTTCACATATTGGTAGCCACAGATGTCTGGTGGTTTACAGCACCCTGACTGTAATAAGAGGAATGAAAGTACTTCAGAATTTTAAGTCCACAAATAAGGTCAACAGATGTCTGGTGGTAGCCACATATTGTTGGGTTCAACAACTACTGTAACATTTTAGTTTTGCTAATGAAGGGCAATATAAAGTGGCAATAAGGTCATTTCATATTTTCAATGATAAAAGATTATCAATAATTGAGTTTTATGAATGTTACACCATGCTAATGTGACCCACCAAATGCTATATAGGGAAATATTAACACTATGATACCCTGACTAAATTATTGACTACTAGATGACTAGCTTGATGTCTTGGTACAATGATAAGTGATTACTTGTTCCGTTTTGACAATATTAACAATTACCATCTTCTTTTAGAGTTATAGATGATGAAAGAATTACAACAGAAAATGATATAGATGGAATTGAATCTCGTGTTTTATGTACCACCAACAAGACAACATCCACACATAGTGACAAGTTTTAGTGTAAATATGCATGCCCCAAGACATCAAATAAATTCTGGTAATTAACAGCCGAAACTAAAGGCAAAGAAAGCACTAATTACTACTTTAATTAGTTTTATAATTCCAGTGGTTCACAAGATGACATGCATCAGTTTGCAAACAATAAAATGCTTTTCTACCTGCTACAATGAAGACAATTCCATATTTTCTAAACTATTCTACTTTTTTCGGTTAGAACAGAGCACTTTCTATGAGTGTGATAAAAAGATTGATTCTCTGAATTTCAAAATAAAATTGATTCCACACGTAGTACCTGATTAAATATAGAAGTTTCTCGTAAATTTTTGAATAAAGTTTTTAAATTTTTGTAGTGGGAGTTTTAGTGATTGATTAGAATTGAACTAAACAACAATTAGTAAGGAAAAAGGCAAAGGATAATTTTAATTGACTTTGGTTAGCATATGACTGATTAAATAGTGCAACCACCGGTGGACCATACCCACTAATTATCAGCAAAGATAATTCATATGGGTTTCACTCAATAATTTGGACCCACTTTATGATATTCCAGATCTAGATCATTATAGAAATACACAATTTGTAAGCTATGATTAATTTTAAGACTTTCACATATTCATCAAATTTCAACTACCTATTTTTTTTTTTTTTTTTTTTTTTGACAATGTTCAACTAGATATCTAGTACTACTAGTTCCTTTAACTCTTTAAGTACATATTATGAGTAGTTAAGGTAAATTAGATTATTAGTCCCAAAATGCTAATGAGTAATTTATAAGTGAAATTTGTTTTGTAAGAGTACTTCATTACCCAAAAAGAGAACGAGCAATTGAGGAAATAAACTTAAACACTAAGAAAGAATCAATTCTACAAAAAATACCCCAATGTTGGAAAACCATGTTTATGTACGGAGTAATACTTCGAGTATAATTAAGTAGACTTAAAAAAAAAAAAAAAAATTGACTTAATAAATTCCGTATTTTCTTAATTATGGGCCTCAAAAGTTGAATACAAAGCAGAGGAGTGTGTCAGAGAAGCAGCGTATGAAAACGCCAAGCTACTTTCACAGCAACCTTCTTAGCCTTTCATTGCTGATCAGATTTACTGTATGTACTTATCAAGACTTCAAGTCAACCTTTAGTGTGACAATTTTTCAATATTTTCTTTCAAGTTTCAACATCTAACCAAATTAATTTTAGAGTCATAATTTCATAAATGCGAATCCGTATTTCTATAAACTTAATTTAATAACAAGTCACGGCCGGATAGCTAGCATTTCTAAAGTAACTCCCTAACAACTTATGTTATCCTTATATGTTGCTATATTATTATTATTATTCTAACCCGAGTTAATGTCTTACATTATAAAACATTATGCTAATTATAGTCTTTAAAAAACATTTTTCTTTGCATAAAATTGAGATTGTATAACAAAATTACGCGTTAAATTAGTCATTGGACACAAAAAGAATAGGATCATAAGGTAGGAAAAGTGTGTGTACCTGAAGAGGTGAGATATGAGCAACAAAAAAATCAGGAGCACCCACAAATTGAGAATTGAGCTTAGCACAAAAATTGGTATCAATCAAGCAGTTTCTAATCTTAAACCAATTCTCATTATTAGTAACATGGTCCTTAAACCAATTAGAGAACCCTTCTAGGCGGTACTCCTTGTACCCCCGGCCCGGGACCTGAGACGAGCCATCGGGCCGGGTTACGACGAAGGCGAAAATGAGGAGGACAAGGAGGAGAGTGATAAGGATAGCCATACAACAAAGATAAAGAGCTAAGAGGCTTTCTTTGTACCAATAAGCCCCTACAAAGCCTATTAGTGAGATGACTAAGATAAGGAAGCCGAGCACGACAACGGGCCACCGGAAGAGGTGGACACACTCGTTGTCGGGCTTGGAAGCGAGCCATAGGCCCGAGGCAATGATTGGGATTGAACATAGGAGTGCTATGAAGTTTAGTATTGCTGTTATGTTGTTGCTTAGTCCCATGTTTGGTTCGTAGAGGGTTAAGTGGACTCTCACTCTTGGTGATGGGTGCGGCCGAGGTGATGTGAGGGGGAAGTAGGATTTAGAGGGGGTGAAGTGAGTGAGAAGAAGGGGAGCAAATACACAAAGAGGATGATGATGAAATGCGGTGATAGGTGATGTAGAATTTTTAGGGGGGGAGTAAAGTTGTGAACCAACTTTGCATAAAGAGACACGCCGACGTAAGATTAGAGTGGAAACTTTGAGGCATATTATATGCACAAGCACTGAGAGTTTGACTACTTGTAGTTCAAGTGGACCCTTAAGTACACGTATGATAATTAAGGTATCACACATTCACACTATATTTAGTAACTCATGTAAATTTTTTAATTTTTTGAAACATTAATAATCCGTGTTTTAATAAAATTTTAGAGTAAGTATTTAGGAAGAAGATTCAATCTTAATTACATAAATGCCTTTAGCATCTTGTATAGATAAATTAAAAAAAGTAGATATGTATTGTTGTTTTAATTACTCGGCTTTATTTTTGTAAATAAGGTAAGGAGTAAGGAGTAAGGAGTATTGTACTCCGTAGTCCAGTAATCTTATGAGCCATTTCCACGAAAAATATTAAGTTGAAATTACGTCCTTATGTAATTATGTACATTGAAATGAAAACTAATATTCAAAAACAATTCAATGTTCATGTAAAATTGATTGGAGCTCAGTTTGATCGTTAACATGCATAGATGTGTATATGTCTTATTTAAAAAATTATCATTGGTATATTTTAAGTAAAATCTATAATGCTATTATCGATTTCTTCAAGCTCGCTATTATAGTGTATGAAGTATGATTTTGAAAATAAAGTCCATAAAATTAACATTGTTACATAGTCTAATCACGATGTGGATCGAACACTAACCACACAAATTGTACAATCCAATCCAAAGAAGCAAAAGCAACCATCAACACCAAACTCATTTAAAGGCCATTTGTACATTTTTATACCAAAGAGTCCAAAGAATAATACTGTATTAGCCCAATATTTGTAATCACAATAATTATGGTCTTGACAAACAAAATGATCAACTTTACCACGTCTTTAATTCTCTATTGATCACTCCTCTGTTTCAATTGAAATCTGCGTAATTATGCCAGTTCATCACTTTGACATCCTACCCTACGGAATTATTGACAGTTCATAGAAGATATACAAATCAGATTAAAGTACACACAAAAATTACAAATTTGGTCGTTGCAGTAGAATGATTACAAAAAGCAATCCTAAGTAATCAGTCAAATTTAACTCGTCTTCTTTATCATTATTGAGTGACTTCCGGCCATTGGAATCTGAACCCAGAATTTTAAAAATTAAAATCTGGGATTTTGTTTTTGATTGATAAATTTTGGAATTTAGAGATAAATATTTTCTGGGTATTTGATTTTTGTAATTGGGGATCGGTGATTTGGCGGGAAGTTAGTGGGTTTTGTTAATGGCGGAGGATAATGTAAGAGGGTTGGTACTAGCAGTGGGTTCAAGTGTGTTTATTGGAACCAGCTTTATCTTGAAGAAGAAGGGTCTTCTTCGTGCTGCTGCTAATGGCACCCGTGCAGGTTTGTCCAACTTTTGCTTGAAAAAAGGGTTAATTGACTTATTTTTGAGTTGTATGATTCTAGGTATTTAATCTTTTGATGATTGTAGTAGTTATTAAACTTTGAATATAGATTAAGCAATTGACCTGTGAATGTTGTTAATTTGACAAAGTTCAATATTTTTTGGCTCTGAAATGGTTATTGTTGCTGTTGTTCTCATCTTTAGTTTGTTTATATTTGTCTATGGGTTGATCTTCATAGATTTGTAGTGTTTGGTATGTTAGTTTCAAGTTAATACTTGTTGGATTGAATTAGAAGTAGAGTTGTCTGGTATATGAACTTGAAATTCTAGTCAGTTACTGTGTGAAGTTCCCTCCTTTTAATGAAAAGGATGATATTTGGTGGCTTGGATATTAACTTGAATCATGAGAATGCAAAAAGGAATAGTGAATTATTTACGTGGACATCGTCGTGGAGTATGAAACTTTAGGCTGCTTATATGATAAGTTTGTGGTGGGTGACCTCCTTTTTGGGCTGTGTTAAGGATTTCTTTGTTGGTTGTAAGGAGGGTGAGGGAGGGGAGGGGGGTGGGGGTGGATGGTGAGTGTAAGGAGAAGGGGGGTTCTACACCAGGTCATTTGGCTCACTTATTATGTTGCAAATGTTGTCGAATTGCCTCTTTGTATAGCAATACTGTGCTGCAACAACATATTAACATAGCATTTACAGTAGACACCATTGGTTGGATATGGTTATCTTGGTCTAATTTGTCTTACCCCAACCGGTTGAAACTAGAGTGTCTTTATGGAGTAGTAAAACAAAATTAGTGTCAGTAAAACAGCACAATTAAGGCTATACTGATTCAGTATGCAGTTCTGCAGTGTATGTGACGTGAGCTGGTTTTGAAAGTTGGGAGCTTGTTGGACTGCTTAGCTTTTTAATCCAGAATTCTGTCTGATGGCCATGGATTGATTGTTAAACCAGTAGGCGCTGTACGAAAGGCATTAAAGATATTGGAGCCGTGCACTTAAGAAATTTATTTTCCATTAGGTTAGAAGTTGCTCTCTTTTTATGCAATAAGTACGTGCTTGCGTAAATTTAACATATGACCAATGTTATCCTTCTTATCTTTAGTGAATCTGCCTTCCTTTTGTTAGAATAATTTCAGTGAGAAGTGCCCCTCCCCTTTGTTAATGCTTCCCAAAAAAAAAAAAAGAGTTCCTCCAGATTAATATCAATTTGATCAGATTGAGGGCATCTACAAGTGTTATCTGATTTCTATTGCAGGTATGCTAGATGTCATTTCTAAAAAATGATGATTAAATTCACTAAAGAAACGAAATAATTCACCCATAGTCAGGTACTGTTTGACAAATCAAATGTATTTACGGTATAAATTTCTTTTCCTTCTATGCTATCTGTCTAACAGTTAACGACCTACCACTTAAGGATCTCTGCATATTTTCATAGTTCTGTGATGAAGCCATGTCATTTTATAGTGCAAAAAAGGTTTCCCATGATCCTCCATATACAGTGTGCTGGTATTTTGTTTTGGTAATAGAAAGTTATTATTTAACTGTTTTCAATAATTCACTGGCACCAAATGGTTATTATGACTTTACTCCCATCAGCCTACTTATCCTGCATTTGAAATCATTTTTGTCTGACAATGTAGGATATGGAGGCTACACTTATTTGCTAGAGCCACTCTGGTGGGCAGGAATGTCCTTAAGTGAGTTCAGGCTCTTTCCCTGCCTTAAACTCCAGTCTTTTTAGTTATTAATGATTGTGTGAGTTACTGCTCATTTTTATAGATCAAATCTTTTCTCTTTAAAATTCTTAAAAACAGTGTTTATTGGAGAGGCTGCAAACTTTGTGGCATATGCTTATGCTCCGGCTGTTTTGGTAACACCGCTTGGAGCGTTAAGTATTATAATCAGGTAAACTGGATTGAATTTCTTGAAATATTGTTAATGACAAATGCTGTTTGTCTGATTTCACTTGCCTGATTTGTTCAGTGCGGTGTTAGCACACTTCATGCTCAAGGAAAGACTGTCAAAGCTTGGTGTCCTGGGATGTGTGTCTTGTATAGTGGGGTCGGTGGTAATTGTTCTTCATGCCCCACAGGAGGCAGCACCAACTTCTGTTCAACAAATTTGGGATCTGGCAAGTCAAACAGGTCATTTCAAATGACGTCTAGCAATATATTTAAATAGTTATACCTGCCCTGGCCTATAGTCATCCTAACTGATTTTTTCATATTCTTCTATGACCAGATTTCTTGATTTATGTGGCGGCTTCATTATCCATTGTGGCAGTTTTGATTTTGCACTTGGAGCCACGCTATGGGCAGACAAATTTGTTGGTTTACTTAGGGATATGTTCTTTAATAGGTTCACTGACGGTAAAATGTTCTGTTGATAATTTGAAATTTTCACTTGTCTATTTGATGTTTGCTTCCCCCACAATCTTTGGGTCTTAATAGCCACTCTGCAGGTAGTGAGCATCAAGGCTATTGGAATAGCTATAAAACTTACTCTGGAGGGAACAAACCAGCTTATCTATCCACAAACTTGGTTTTTCATGACTGTGGGAGCAGTCTGTGTCATTACACAGTTAAACTACCTGAACAAGGTTTGCATATTCTTTTATTGTATGCTTTTTCTTCCTTCTATCTTACAATTTGTCTCCTTTCATTTTTTTGTAAAGTTTGATGTTGGGGGTCTTCTGGTCTTTGTGTGTATTTGTCAGTACGTTGTTAGAAAATTCTTGGCAAGAGAGGTGGAAATACGAGTCATCAAAGTAATATTACCTTAGTGAATATAATTTCTCTACTCAATTCCTGGCTATAACATTCTCTTCCTGGGATATTACATTTGAGTGATGACAAGACAGTCTAGCAGAACCTCACTTTCTAATCACTCTAGTATTTTCAATTTTAATCTGTGACTTATGACTCATTTTGTTCCAAAGGTGTTGCTTTTAGATGTATGCCTTTGCCACTTGCTCCTAAGTGCTGAGATGTTAATAAGCATGGTTAATTGACTTTTTAAGAGTTCTTTGGAGATGGGTTATTAAGTAGGAGCATGAATTCCAGTACAGAAAGATAGAATATTACGAAACCTCTTGTGTCCAGGATTTAAGGAAAGGTTTAGTTTTAGTAAACATTGGAAGGGTTATCAAGACCTCTCAATGTTTACCTATACCATTGCTAGGATTGGCTGATGCCTGACGGGTGTCCATCTTCTAATTTATGACAAATGTCATTGTTATTAAGCTCTATATTATGTGATATCCTCTTTGCAGGCACTTGATACATTTAATGCAGCATTAGTATCTCCAATATATTATGTGATGTTCACGACCCTGACTATTGCTGCAAGTGCAATCATGTTCAAGGTAGATTCTTAGACTAATCATCGAGTTTTTCTGTTTATCAATATTTTGCTCCAAGTAGGGAGAATAAGCTTTAAAATGTATGTATCATTTCAGGATTGGTCTGGCCAAGATGCAAGCAGCATAGCTTCTGAAATTTGCGGCTTTATTACGGTTCTCACTGGAACAATCATATTACATGCTACCAGAGACCAAGAGCAAACCAACACCTTAGGTAGGTTATCCAGCATGATGTTAACTCCCTAGATTTATTTTTATCTATCAATTTATTTTGCCCTTTCAATTAACAGAAAATGATCTGTCTTGACGTGACACTTTTTATCTTCCTTATACTATGCTGACTTCAAACAACAGCTTTTAAAATCAAGAATTTGTGATTTGCGATATGTATGATCACCAAAGTATGCCATAGAATAACCAACAGCAATTTTTTCCAAGGATCTATCCAGTTGCTAACAAAATATGCTCTGTTTCATCACATTCATTCAATTTCCTGTTTATGACTACAGATTCACGAGGCAATGCAGGACCTGCCAATTGGTACTCAACTGGAGAGAGTCAAAAAATTGGTGATGAGGAGCACCTAATTACATTGCACAATACAGACTTTTTTGAATGACAAGGTTGAGATAAACTCGATTTCAAAAGTATGGTGAGATATTTTTTCCACTCAGGAAAACAGTCGCTGACAGTGCCTTCAGCTAAAGCTCGAAAGACCTTTTTGTTATAGAAAATGGCCTTGTGTAGGAAGTGCGCTGTTGTGATGAATATCGCCTGCTGGTAATCCTGGGGCACTGAAGTGAGCTACACTGTCTGAAGAATTAAGGTTTTAAATTACTTGCCTTTGTAGATTGCATGTCGTCTGATAGCACATTGCTAGATACAGCGATGGCCAGCAGCAATGTTTGTATCTAATTTTTTTGTGTGTTGCTTGCCTCATAGTCTATACATGTACATAACCCCATTGTTTTTCTGGCATATGAAGATATGAGTTTATTCTGTGATTGAATTGATAAATTCATTTTTAAAATCATTTGTGATTAGCCAATGTTTGTATCTTTTATGTAAAATCCTTTTGTTGACAGTCACATTCTTCTGAATTGATAAAAAAAATACTGTATGGTATTTTTTGCCAGGAAACCTGAGTTTCGCAATTTGCATACTGCAATCTATTTATTACTTGTATTTTGTATATAATTCCAAAAAAATACTTAGTGGTATACATTGTAGAATTTGTGGTGTGCTGTTATGTAAGTGTCAATTGTATGAAGCTTACACATTTTTGGGAAAAACACATGTTGGAATTTTGAGAATGCAGTCTAGACAAATACAGTACATGATGAAGTTGAACGTGCAATACTCCAAATTACTGAGAAATATCCAGGTTGGACCACTTGCTCTAGGGTCATTACATGATGAACCTCATATTGTTAGAATAATATATACAAGTAAACTAAATTAAGTGTGGAATTTATCTTCACTTGTCTCTTAAATCTTCGGGAGATAAAATTGGAAGGTTGTGGAAGAAAATGTTCAAGAAAATAAAACCTTTTTAGATGGGTATGAATATTCTAAATTTTCTGTTCCTTTTTTGCAATATATGTTATGTTTCTAGGCAGATCATCCAGGACGCCTACAACCTAGCTAAGGATGGTGGAACCTGATGGCTTGATAGGTTGTCTAAGCAATGTAAAATTTTTGTTGGTGTTTAAAGAGTCATAAGGACGAGAGTGAAAATCAATTCCAAAATCTCTTAGAACGGGAGGAAAATTCTAACCCCTTGAATTATTCCTTACTCTCGTCTAAGCAATGAATAATTTAATAGATTTAAAATTAATCAAAAGTAATGTGATAAATATATATTGGGCCACCCTTCAATTTAAGGGAAAAAAAAACTACTACTGTACTAATTTTTACAAAATATTCCATAATATTCAATAGATTTACGTATTTTATTGAATAATTTTCCCTTTGTAATACAAAGTTGAAGTCCGATGAGATTAGAATTGAAATTTCGTTAAAAAAAAAACATTTAATCCAAATCAAACTTTGTATTACCACAATCAAAATAACACTAATCAACTCAAAACTAGGAAACAAAACCAAAATAAAATCTAATTGTATTCATACTTTTCACAATTCTACTATTCCCAAAATTTCCTTAATTAGCTGCCAACTCACGCAACTCGATTCCCTTTTATACCCCTCTTTAACATATCCTCATCCTTCTTCTCACTTCACATCTCCAAACAAACACACACTCAAACTTCGAAGAGAGAAAAAGATTAACAGACACCCTTGTAGAGAGAGAAACAATGGCGGCAACTGTTTCATCAGTTTGGGCCAAGCCCGGAGCTTGGGCCTTAGACTCTGAAGAACACGAAGATGAACTCGCTGAACAGATCATGCCTCAGCCCACCAAGCCCGAACCACCCGCCGCCGATTTCCCATCTTTAGCCGCCGCAGCCGCCGCCAAGCCCAAGAAGAAGAACAAGGCCCAAACCCTTTCTTTGGCTGAGTTTTCCACTTATGGGTCCGCAGCCCCAAAGCCCAAGCCCAAAGCCTTCGCCGTCCCCCAGCGGCTAACCCAAGATGAGATGCTCGTTCTTCCCACCGGACCACGTGAGCGAACCGCCGAGGAGCTCGAAAGACCTCGCCTTGGTGGTGGGTTCCGAAATTATGGCGGCGGCGGCGCGAATGATAATTCTAGGGTTAGGGTTTCTGACAGGAGTTCTAGTAGAGATAGGGATATGGGCCCTTCTCGGGCCGACGAAGCGGATGATTGGTCCAAGACGAAGAAGTTTAGTTCTTTCGGTGGTGGTGCGCCGGAGAGGTCTGATAGGAGAGAGAAAGTTGGGTTCTTTAATTCGAGTCGGGCTGATGAGGTTGATAATTGGGCCTCTAATAAGAGTTTTGTTGCTGCCCCTGTTGATGGGCCGAGGAGAGAGAGACGGATGGGGTTCGAGTCGTATTCAAATGGGTCGGGTCCGGATTCGGGTAATTGGTCGAAATCGAAGGAGGAGAGAGGTGGGAGTGTTGGTGGTGGTGTTGAGGCGGATACTTGGGAGAGGAGGGAGAGTATTGGGTCTGGAGGTGGTGGGAGTGGAAGGCCTAGATTGAATTTGCAGCCTAGGACATTGCCTGTTGTGAGTAATGACAATGTGACTCCGGCCGAGGCGGCAAAAGGAGTGAATTCCGGGCTGAGTTTTACTCCTACCGAGGTGAAGGCGAAAGGGACGAATCCGTTCGGGGAGGCGAGGCCTAGGGAGGAGGTGTTGGCAGAGAAAGGGAAGGATTGGAAGGAAATTGATGAGAAATTGGAGGCTGTGAAGATTAATGGTGATAAGAGTGAAGGGTTTGGGAGAAGGGGTTTTGGGCTTGGGAGGTCTGATTCTGGGGATGATGTTAAGAGTTGGAGGAAGCCGGAATCGGCTGATGCTGTTACTTCTCCTCCGGGATCAAGGTTTGATCCTGTTCTTCTTTAATTGTGAATATTTAAAAGCTCATTGTTTTGATTTTTTTTCTTGGCTGTGTTGTTAATGTTTGCAGTATTTATTTATGAATATTTTTCTTTGGAAGATTGCATTATGGTAGTACATTGTTGCATAATGCTTGCAAATTGCAACCAATATGATCATTAGGGGGATTGAGATTAAGCTGATGAGATATTTGTTAGGGCAATGGAGAATCAATGAGTTTATTGGGTTTGCAAAATCCCTAGATTGACATTGTATAAGCCACTTTAGTTTTTGATTTGATAATTTGACATGATTGACATTGCCACAGAGTTTGCAGCCTCTCCAATAAACACTGTTTTTGAGAATTTCAGAGAGAAAAGATTTGATCTTTAAAAATGAGCTGTAACCACACAAACATTAATAACTAAAAAGACTGGAGTTTAAGGCAGGGAAAGAGCCTGCACTCACTCAAGGACATTCCTGCCCACCAGAGTGGCTCTAGCTAATAAGTGTTGATTTGATAATTTGACATGGTCCTCATAACTTTGATTCTTGGTGTTGGATAATGTTAGGGGTCAGAATTTCATGAGCATGACATGAAAGTTTCATGATTATAAATTATCAAAAGTTATTATGTGGACATGAGGATGAGGATGTTGATGCTTTCCATTGTTATATCTGTGAGTAGGGAAGTACTCCGTATTAATAATTTAATACGAGTATTTCTTTTCATGGACAAAACTGAAGTGCGCTAGATACTTACTATCTAAAGTATTGACTGTTGAGTACTTGACATGAATACTTGGGCTGCAAATTACGAGTCTTAATATCATAGCTTCTCATTACAAAATATAAGTGCATAACTGCATACACATATTATTCAATAGTGGTTTAGAACTACATGTTTTTTGCATCAAAAAAAGTCTAGTGCTTGTTTTTGGTATCTTTTTGTTTAGAAGAGGTGGGGATTGCAAGTATTTTATACTGTTTGGCAGTTTGCAACAAACGTGATAGTGCATTAGATTTTAAGATCTATCTTTGAAACTATGTGGTGGCTTTTCTCTGTAGTTTGAATCCACAGAAAGTGATCTGTTTTCTCTTAGGTGATCGGTCTGTCTCCATCTGGAAAGTCTGTCTGTGTGTTGGCATTGTATTTTAACTCCCTGAACTTGGAATTTTGAAGAGTTAATGCAGTTTATTTATGTTAATCAGAATATGTATATGCGTAATTTTTATAGAAAGTGTAAGCTATTTCTCTTATAACAGTTCTAATTGCTCTTGTTTTTCTTCTTCCTTGTTGGATATGATATAGTGTTGATACAACAGAGAATAACACCGCCACAGCCGAGAGTACTACTGATAGTGCTTCTGAGAGTGTTGAGAAAGTTTCAGAAGAGAACTGAAGACTGTCAATGATGGAATAGCAGAGTGGAGCGTGGGTTTTTGCTCGATTGAGAATCAATTTTTTGATAGTCGTCTTAGATAGGTATATTCTTTAGGACCTGGAAAACCTGAAAGGTCATAGTGTTTGTGCTGTTTTTTGGGTAGCAGGGTGGTCACCTGAACGTTAAGTGTTAATGTTTGTTTTAACTTATAACTACACTTTCGTTGCTTATGCTTGGAGTATCTGGCTTTGCAAAAAGATTTTTGTGTAATAGTGAGCTATTGATATAAAAAGGATCCAATAACAGCAGCTGAGGCTGCTGTTGCTGTGTTAATCTTAGTAACTCTGTTGACATTTTGCGACTGTTGAAATATTTTTTTCTGTTGTGGCATTATTAACTTGGAGTCCGGTATAAAAATTCTGCAGATGCTTTGGAATTCTGTATCCAATTTACGATTATTTAGCTATAGTTTTTCTCATTTTGATACTTCAAATCTGGAGTTTTTGGTTCCTAGTTTGTGCTTAAGCATTGCATGATTGAAAACGAATTTAGTAAGCTACTTAGTCAAATGAGCTAATAACCGGATAGTCAAATCAGTTAGTACAATCAGCTATATTGATCAGCTAACCGCTAATTACCAAATAGGGCCAAAATAAAACTTGAAGAGTTTAGTGGGCTTTTGTGCTGGACGTTTTACTGGGCTCCTTAATGGGTTTGCTTCTGAAAATACAACACCATAATTAGGACTTTATTTTTGCAGCCAGATTAACTTAAAACGTTGCCTTATATAAGCATCATTAGTCATGTTTAGAGACCCCTTCAAAACTGTAAATGAATTTTTCAAAAATTTCTTACTTATTATAGAGGTAGTCTCTTCTTATTGTTCAAGAATATTGCATTCTAAAAAAGGGAAAACACCCTTCAACATCATGAATCCTTAATTATCTGTAATTAATGAACTTGACGCTACGAAAAAACTTAAAAACTCATGTATTACTCCAAGTCTTTTCACTTTTGATGGTAATCAAGGTACTTGGCCTAGTGATTAGCCTTCGGATCTCACACAATTTGAAAGTTCGTAGTCGGAACAAACCTAAACACTCTAGGGATGAAAACTCCGCATGCTCCTTAGTACTCTCCCAAGTCACAAAGGGCCAAGCAACTTTCCATTACTCTGAGTTGGCCTATTCATGAAATCACGAGATATTATTGATTTTAGAATTTTATACCAATGTAAAAGCTCCAATCCTTTGTTCTGGTTTGTCTTCCATTCATATTGGTATAAAGTATGATCTGATTAAAAAAAATGAAGGTCATGAATGCTTCCAACAACCTGTAACGGCTAACCAATACGCGCTCCAAAATAGATTAGTCCAGATGGTTGTGTACAGATTATCAGCATATGAGTACTGTTACTCTGTACCCATAAAGTTCCCTTTTTTTTGTGGAACACATTTAATCAGACTCCTTCCTGCTTTCCTAGTCGCCCATTTATGCAGCTCTCAACTGTCCACAATTCTCTAAACTGTCGTTCAGCTATATCCGCTCTTTTTATTTTATTTACGAAGTACTCTATTTATTAGCGACGATAGAATTTGCTATACGTCGTTTTCCTATTTATATTAATGACTAAGGTATAAGTATCAAACATTTATTTCTTTAAATATTACAAGTAATTTATATTTCCCTAACAAAATTATTCTATGATCATCTTTTGTTTTATATACTACTCATATTATTCCATTGTCTTAAAAAAAAAACTTTGATTCCTAGAAAAGTTGGTGCTACATGCAACTTTATTAAGTAAACGAGCAAGAAATTTGAGTTTCAGAATTTTTTTATATTGCATTGATATTTGATAAGCGTTATATTAACATCGGTGATGACAAGTGGTATGATCCCCATTAAAATTTAATGCATATTTGATATGTTTTTTTCAACCACAAAGATGGATATTGTCGCTATACTTTGAAGCATGAGTACGACTTAGAAAATCATGTACAGTAAATTAATTAATAGATTTCTTATTCTTCATTTGATGGGTGTCCTCGACTTGATATGGAGTACTTTGTATATGATATTATCAGTAAAACTAGGAAAATCCTAAACGTAATGTTAAGAGTTACAAACAAAAATCATGAAATTGGATACGGTTGCTAGAGATAACTACGTACTCAGTAGTTTGTACAACTTTATGCAAGTGTACCAATGATTTTTGACACTATATATCCAAGTTTTATGCTCTTACAAATCCGGCCACCATATTAGTTGGCTCTGAAAAATTTATACCAAGTACTTCGTATGTGCGTACTATATGACCAAAGGTACTCATAATACCCAAAATTAGCTGTGACTGATCTAATTGACAGTAAAAGAAACATTAACTATAAAAACAACATACAAATGTAGACTTATCCTATAAGCTAGCTAAATACAAATGTGAAAGCAGCTAGCACCGTTGTATAAATGTTAGCATAGACTAAACTGTAAAATATAAACGTTTGTAGTAACCATTAATTTCAAACAGATCATAAATGTAGACAGTTGAAAGTTGGTGATGCAACTTACTAGTGTTATTTATTACTTCATGTGATTTTACTCATATAAAAACATCACTTGATCTTATTCCAACTTCACACTAAATTTCCTCCTAACTTTTTTTCCCTTTTAAATTTTAAGGTCCCATCAAAGTATCTTCGATTTTCAGGTTGTATATTGAATTATCTACCAATGAACAAGTTATACTTTTTGTTGGTTTTTTCTGTCTTTGTTGCTGTATTAGATATTCATGGAGTTCAAGGTGGAGCAATAATAACTGGTACTGTTTTCTGTGACCAATGTAAAGATGGCCATGTGTCCATCTTTGATTATCCTCTTTCTGGTATGTTTCTTCAACTCTTCAATATGTTTATTTTTCCGAGATTAAGATAGATGTTGATAGTGTAATTTGAACTATCTAATTATCATAACGTGACAACTGAATCTGAACGAAGGAACAAATTCACAAAAGTAGCTAGGAGTGTTATTTTAACATTGTATTATGTATATGCTAATGATCTGAGTTTAAATGTTTAATAGATTTATATTGTGGTTCTTAATAGGGCCAACAAAATTTTACTAGCATGTAAATATTCATAATTTGTTTCATTAGGTGCTACATTGTTGAAGGGTTTGCTAACCAAAAAAGGCATTGTTGATCATTTGGACCCCATAAATAAATAATTTCATTATTTGCTTACCAAAAATGGCATTTCTTTCAAAAAAATTTGAAGTTATGCAGTTTCAAAGCCCTAAAGTAGATATTTTCTGTATTCCCATTCCAATGGAAATATAATAAATGACTTTTTCTTATTGTTAAAAAAGAAAGCCATTTTCATCCTCAAGATTTATTGTTCTTATTCATGTAGTCATTATTTTGATCAATTAGGCCTTGCTTTATTCTAATAATAAATCACTCTTGATAATCAAAATTTGTTAAGTAAAAAGTTCATCAAAAAATTAAACCTGGCGTAAAGTTTATATGACAATAAATCTAGTCTTAATCAGTAAAAATTGGTAACTAACAAAAATAGAACTTTGTATGACCATTTTGAGCCACCAAAAAAGAAAATGTTACTCAGTATAAGCACAATCTAGAATACAAGAACAAAACTTAAAAGCAATTGTATTAAGAAAATAAAGTTCAACTCAGTAAAATATTAAAGTATGATCCTATTATATTTACATTTAAAAAACATAAATAAAAAAAAAAAAAAATTATTAAGTATAGTCACTATCACAATTCATTTTACATATACAATTATAATACTTCATTTATTTTGAGTGATCTGATTTAATGAATTTTTGAATGTATATGCAGATATGAATGTGGCAATGGTATGTCCAGGGAGTACTGGGCAGACAGTAGTTGGACAAGAGACTACAAATATGATGGGCAGCTATACCATAAGTTTTGGGGGTTCACCTGATTTAAGCAGCTGTTTTGTTCAGATCACACCTAAAAATGGGCCTGACCCAAATAACAAATGTGGGGCTGCAACAGGCCCACCCAAATCATTAAGGCTAATGTTTAGCATGTTTGATATGGAGATGTATTCTGTTGATCCCTTGATTTCTCAACCAGCTCAACCTATGTCTTATTGTTCTACTTCTTCACCATCATCATCACCTCCTAATACTACTCCTGTCTCTTTACCACCACCTACGACTTCAAATCCTCCACCCGTCTCTCCGGTCACCCCCCCGGCCCCTCCTAAAGCTCCCACGACTCCCGGTTTTAAGCTCCCTCCTATGTTTCACATGCCACCATCGCCTTTCTCACAAAATTCGGCATGCTCCAATGAGTAAGTACGGTTGTATTTTTTTGGTATTAAATTATTTTAAGGTAGATTGACTCATTAAATCACCTCACTTATAGGTCATCTAACTTCACCATTTCCTTTTAAAGGTTTATCTAATCACGTGTTCTTTTGAAGTACTACTTGTGTCACTCTTTCAATGAAATTTCACTTTCATATCTTAAATTGTTACAGTCTAGTGTATGAAAATGTCAACTATTTTGGGACAATAGGTGATGTAAAAGTTAAAAGGTAACTTTATCTTAAGGGAATGTAAAAGTTAGAATGACTATGAGATTTATTTTTATTTTTTTTACTAAATTTATGCGACTATTATGATAATTTTGTAGCATGTTGAATTCATTGTCACATTTTCTAAGGAGTAGTAATTATTTTGATAGTTTCCTTTGACATTAACTCCCGTAAAAGCTTTTTACTATTTAGGAAATACTAGCCGTTGGACCACGACTTGTTTTTAAAAAGGAAATTGGCCTTTTATTGGCAACCCACTAAATAGATTATTAAGGCCGACTAAATACGGGAGTACATATAACAACTTACAAAGTAATAATGGAAAAAAAAAAATACCATTACTTATTTTGCTACTACTTAGTACCATAAAAATTTAAACCCTTTTCGTACTTTCGTTTAAACTACTTCGTTCATGCACCAAAAAAACAACGTACCTGTAGCATTTTTTGTAGTATGAGTAGCATATAAACTATACGAGTATTAATTACAATTTAGCGTGAGCAAAATCAAGTACAGGGGATATGACTATAAGAAAGAGAAAAAAAATGTTAAAAAAATGTTACTTCGTATTTGACAACTAAAAACAACGTAGCAATTACTTGCAAAAAGAGAAAGTTGACAGTATTTTTTGTGTGTAGAATTTAGAATTAGTATTCAGTTTTAATTCGTACGTGAAATAAAAACTAATGAAATGTGATGAATGGAGCAGATATTGGATGAAGCCAGAATACAAATGCTACTGGAAATTAGTGAACCCAGAAATGCCAGTAGCTCTTGTATTCGGACCCTTAGCAGCGCAAAAATATGGCAATGACTTAACATTGTGGTCAGGACTCAAAGGCAAAGGTGACCCTTACAAGACCCTCTTAAGGGAAACTGTAACTGCACTTCTTAACTCCTACAACAGCTTCCATTTCCCTTACAACGCGATTCAAGTGCTCCATAACTTCAACACCGCGATGACAGGTTCTACTCGTAGTGTTCTTCTCACTGCCTTGAGGTTCAAGAGGGCTAATTCTGGTTATGGTCGTGTTCCTTGCAAATTTCAAGCTTGCAAATAATTTAGAAGCTTATTTACTTGGCTAGCTATTAATCCATATTTATGTATGCTGCTACATGTATTTGATATAGCTATATATAGTCCTTAAGTTTTATATGTTACGAATTTATCTAATAGATTATATATCATGTAGAGATTTATTTTGGAAGGTACAAGCAATCAGTTGTTGGTTGTATGTGTCTGATTATCTATTACTAATTTAAGATATATAGTATGCTTTATTTTGACGTAAGTTATTGGTATACTTGATTTCAACAATGTTGTGTATCATATTGTTACTCCCTAAAAAGCAAATTTCTTTCAAGATATACAGTATAAGTATATAACACATTGATTGGCTACGAGCCCATCAAAGTATAACACGTGTTAGTCGTTATTTTCAAATGATGATGAATTGCCTACAATAGTAGGTTTAGCCATCACCCCCCTCCTCAAAAAAAAAAAAAAAAAAAAAAAAAAAAAAAAAAAAAAAATCAACTTTACATTGTTATATCAAAATCAAGTATTATACATAGAGGTGTAATACATTTCAAGGTAAGAAGAAGGGGCTCACTTGAAGTGGAAGATAAGATACCAATGTACCATATATTATTTGATCCTTACACCTTAGGTGGGGAGCGATGCTACTACTCCATCACCTCAACCTCACTTAAAAGAACAATACAGAGTATGCGGAAATTTTACATTATAATCTAATAGATAATTTACATACATAGTTTAATACAGTAGTATTGTTTAAAACTTTAAATTGTTGTGACCTTGAATAATTCTACTAACACTAGGCGAAAAACACCAATCCCCACCGGTTCAAACCATACATTTCCCACCGGTTTTGATTTGGGGGGTGCGAAATCCCAAAAGATTTCCCACCGGTTCAAAACCGGTGGCAAAAACAATTTTTCCCACCGGTTTTGGAGTGAACTGGTGGCAAAAGCTTCTGAATTATGTTATAGTTGAGCACTTTTCCCACCGGTTTTGGGGTGAACCGGTGGCAAAACCGTGACTTTTCGCAGCGGTTTACGCATTGAACCGGTGGGAAAAGTTAGCCCGCCAATTTTGAAAATTGTTTTGGCCACCGGTTCATTGTGTAAACCGGTGGAAAAACCTGTTTTTTTTTAAAAAAAAAAATTTAATAATTAAAAATAACTAAATACCTGCACATCCTGTATTAATTCTGCCATTAATATATATTATGATAACAGTAATAATAATAATTATAATAATAATTATTATTACCCGTATTATTATTATTATTATTATTATTATTATTATATTACTATTAAAAATACTAATAATATAATAATTTTACATTGAATTGGAATAATAACAACAATACATAAATATTAATTAATAACCGTAAATGCGATACAATGAAATGTCATATAGCTTTTACAACTCATTCATTAAAAGGTGTTATATTTACAAACTATACTAATAATTAATGTATACTTTAACAAGTTCAAATTAAATTATATGTGATGAAAGACGCTAACATATCTCGAACTTCATTAAGCTCTTTGCTTGTCAATGGACCTCCTTTTTGTACCTTGCAAAACTTGGTTAAACAAAAATGATGTTAGCTAGAATTAATTACTTAAGTTATGTATGTAAAAATACATTTACAATTTAAGTTAGGCAAAAATTTAATACATAGTACTATATGATCACTACTTGTATGCCTATTTTCTATATTTTTAATCAAATTAGCTCATTCTTCCTCTTAACATGTCATTCTTACCTAGTTAGAGGCAGCTAAGGCTTGAAATCACATTAAAAGAGCATTTGACTGGTTTTTGGACGCAATTTCATTCAAAATGGCCCGAATAAGGCCTATATCACTACTTGTATGCCTATTTTCTATATTTTTAATCAAATTACCTCATTCTTCCTCTTAACATGTCATTCTTACCTAGTTAGAGGCAGCTAAGGCTTGAAATCACATTAAAAGAGCATTATTTTTGGACGCAATTTCATTCAAAACGGCCCGAATAAGGCCTATATCACTACTTGTATGCCTATTTTCTATATTTTTAATCAAATTACCTCATTCTTCCTCTTAACATGTCGTTCTTACCTAGTTAGAGGTAGCTAAGGCCTAAAATCACATTAAAAGAGCATTTGAATGGTTATTGGACGCAATTTCATTCAAAATGGCCGAAATAAGGCCTATATCACTACTTGTATGCCTATTTTCTATATTTTTAATCAAATTACCTCATTCTTCCTCTTAACATGTCATTCTTACCTAGTTAGAGGCAGCTAAGGCTTGAAATCACATTAAAAGAGCATTTGAATGGTTTTTGGACGCAATTTCATTCAAAATGGATCGAATAAGGCCTATATCACTCCTTGTATGCCTATTTTCTATATTTTTAATCAAATTATCTCATTGTTCCTTTAAACATGTCATTATTACCTAGTTAGAGACACCTAAGTCTTGAAATTACATTAAAAGAGCATTTGAAATGTTTTAAGACGCATTTTCATTCAAAATGGCCTGAATAAGGCCTATATCACTACTTGTATGCCTATTTTCTATATTTTTAATCAAAATACCTCATTCTTCCTCTTAAAATGTCATTCTTACCTAGTTAGAGGCAGCTAAGGCTTGAAATCACATTAAAAGAGCATTTGAGTGGTTTTTGGACGCAATTTCATTCAAAATGGATCGAATAAGGCCTATATCACTTCTTGTATGCCTATTTTCTATATTTTGAATCAAATTACCTCATTCTTCCTCTTAACATGTCATTCTTACCTAGTTAGAGGCAGCTAAGGCTTGAAATCACATTAAAAGAGCATTTGAGTACTTTTTGGACGCAATTTCATTCAAAATGGATCGAATAAGGCCTATATCACTCCTTGTATGCCCATTTTCTATATTTTGAATCAAATTACCTCATTCTTCCTCTTAACATGTCATTCTTACCTAGTTAGAGGCAGCTAAGGCCTGAAATCACATTAAAAGAGCATTTGAATGGTTTTTGGACGCAATTTCATTCAAAATGGCCGAAATAAGGCCTATATCACTACTTGTATGCCTATTTTCTATATTTTTAATCAAATTACCTCATTCTTCCTTTAAACATGTCATTATTACCTAGTTAGAGGCATCTAAGGCTTGAAATTACATTAAAAGTGCATTTGAAGTGTTTTACGACGCATTTTCAACCTAAATGTCCCAAATAAGGCCTATATCACTACTTGTATGCCTATTTCTATATTTTTAATCAAATTACCTTATTCTTCCTCTTAACATGTCATTATTACCTAGTTAGAGGCAGCTAAGGATTGAAATCACATTAAAAGAGCATTTGAGTGGTTTTTGGACGCAATTTCATTCAAAATGGCCCGAATAAGGCCTATATCACTACTTGTATGCCTATTTTCTATATTTTTAATCAAATTACCTCATTCTTCCTCTTAACATGTCATTCTTACCTAGTTACAAGCGGCTATGGCTTGAAATCATATTAAAAGAACAATTCAAGGGTCAGGCAACATGAGCTTCTTTGCATAATAGTATGACTTAGGAATTTCATTCCCGTCAGGCAACATCTCACTTAACACGGTCAACAAAGACGTAAAACTGTTGTCCGTCCACCCATGCTTCGACTTAATATTAAACGGTGTTAGCACATCTGATAGTTTGGAGTATTTTTTGCACCCAGGATACAAAAGCTTTTTAGAAGCCTCCGATAACGACTCAAACACGTCACCTTCAACACCACGCATCATTTCATTCACCCCTTCATCCTCCACCTCATCCACCTGATCATCATCAAATCCATCCTCATCACCATTATCAGCAATAAATTCATCATTCATGTATTCCTCGTCCACACGAATATCATTGCTTCTATCATCATGCACATCATTCCCAATAACATCCCCATTGTACTCTCCTTATTCACCGTGCCAAATCCACACATGGTATTTAAGCCTAAACCCACGACAAACTGCATGATCTCTAATGATATCAACACTATTAACCACCTTCACATTTTTACAATCAACACAAGGACAATAGAGGCAATCGAAACCCATTTTGCGCTGATAAGATGAAGCCCTCTCACAAAACTCTTGAACCCCATCAAAGAATTCCAAAGTATCACGTCTACCATACATCCAGCCACGATCCTTCTCCATTAAGTAAATTGTCTCTAAACATGGCAACATATTACGAATAATGTATAATTGCTACATCTATTATATATATAAATCAAATTCAAACACACAACATGCATATAACATTCATATAGATACAAAAATGCATATATGCTTCCAAAGGGTCCTTATCACTCCAACCTAACCCATCCTTGAACGTTTACTCTCACTAGTGAATGTATATCAGATTTCCAATTTTAAGGAAAATCCGGCAGCATTTCCCCCCAGTTCTCCAAGTACACGACGTAGGTAATTACTTACCCACATATGTACCTAGAGAACATGGTGATCGAGGAAATGCTAAGCCAAGATGTTCCTTAAAATCGAAAAAACTGACATACATTCACCACCTAAGTGAGTGTAAACGTTCAAGAACAGTCCCAACCGGGGACTATTCAAGACTTTCTCCTAATGAGAAAGCCTTGAACGGGTATCTAGGCATATGATGATGCAAGCATTTATATATTGTTGCATTAATTTGTCATTAAACAATACACAAGTTGTAATAGCATGAGAAAACATTCATCATGAATCAAGAAAAAGAAACATAGACTAAGTTTATAATTCATACCACAATTGAGCTAAATTTGTAGTCTTCAAGCTAAACTTGTGCTTCAATTCACATATGAATCTATAAAAAAATTAAACATAAAAAACAAAAGTTAGTAAGTAATTAATACATACATACATTGCTAAAGAATAACGCATCATTAATCAAACTAACATTGATGATAGTAATTGCTCTAATTTGAATGAAATTGCGTCCAAAAACCCTTTAGTTGCTCTTTTAATGTGATTTATAGCCTTAGCTGCCTCTCACTATGTAATAATGACATGTTAAAAGAATGAATGAGTTGATTTGATAAGAAGTGTAGAAAATAGGCATACAAGTAGTGATATAGGCCTTATTCAGGCCATTTAGGTTAAAAATGCGTCTTAAAACACTTCAAATGCTCTGTTAATGTAATTTCAAACCTTAGCTTCCTCTCACTAGGTAATAATGACATGTTTAAAGGAAGAATGAGCTAATTTGATTAAAAATGTAGAAAATAGGCATACAAGTAGTGATATAGGCCTTATTCGGGCCATTTAGGTTGAAAATGCGTCTTAAAACACTTCAAATGCTCTTTTAATGTAATTTCAAGCCTTAGCTGCCTCTAACTAGGTAATAATGACATGTTTAAAGTAAGAATGAGGTAATTTTATTAAAAATGTAGAAAATAGGCATACAAGTAGTGATATAGGCCTTATTCGGGCCATTT